AAGCCGATGATCACAGATAACTTTAGGCAGTCCAGTTCTACATTGCCGTGATTGATGGTGGAGTTATTCTTCGGGTATCACTTATCTTGGTTAATATATATATGCGCGTCGTTGTGGAACCGGATTCTGACGTGATGGAATCTCATAGACGTGATTGATATATACTGGGCTTATGACGTCACGTTAAACGTGACTTTGACGTGAATAGCGTGACTTTAGCTGGAGTCACGGGTTCTGCCTCCTAACTGAGTCGATCTTGCCCTCAGAATGCTCGCACATGGAGGGGAAGCCGACTGGCTCCAGGCGGGCGCCTACCCGACACTCTTCCCCTTGTTCTTCAAAATTAGCCAATCGCGACAGTTTCTTGGAGCCCTCTGGTGCCTCCCCCAATAGGCTCTTGTCCCTTAGTCACGTAACTCCCATGACGTTACAACCTAAAGGCGATGTTTACACAAGCGAAGGAACCATTAGGCTTTTCTGGTCCAAACTCCCTCTCGCTCCTGGTACTGTTTCCAAGTAACTTGAGGGTAAAACTATACTAATGACTGTAATTTCCTTTCATAGAAAGGCTGCGGCGGCCTCCGTAGTCTTACTGGACAGCCAAGGGCGACTGCTCCTCGTCGATACCCTACAAGACAAGCCTAACACCCATATTAAGAAAGGTAGAGTGAGCGCACTCAGCTCGGCGCACTCTTGTGCACTCCAAGTGAAAGCAAAATGGCCGTGTGCACTCTTTTATCAAACATCTGACAACCCATCAACCCATGTTGATGGGTTGTCATGAAGTCCCTTCTCTCCAACTGTGTTACTAGATTTTTTCTCACGATCTTCTTCATCATCTTGCATGGTATACAAGTTAAGGACACTTACCTGTAGTTCAGTGCCTCTTGCCTGTCACCCCTTTTTGTATATTGGGACCACATTAACCGTCTTCCATATTTCTGGTAGATCTCCCATCTCCAGTGACCTACTATACACTATGGCGGGTGGCAAGCAAAGAACTTCTACACACTCTTTCAATACCCATGATGAGATTCCGTCTGGACCAACAGCCTTTCTCACGTCCAGATCTAACAGGTGCCTCTTAACTTCATCTCTGGTAATTTCGAACCCTCCTAAGGCTACCTGGTTTACTGCCACCTCTACTAGCGCAGGGATTTCACCTCGTTCTATTGAGAAGACCTCCTGGAACCTCTTGTTGAGTTCCTCACACACCTCTTTGTCATTCTCTGTGTACCTGTCCTCCCCTGTTCTAAGTGTCATTACCTGTTCTTTCACTGTTGTTTTTCTCCTGATGTGACTGTGGAGTAGCTTTGGTTTGGTCTTGGCTTTATTAGCTATATCATTTTCATACTTTTTCTCTGCTTCTGTTTTCACACTAACATACTCATTCCTGGTTCTCTGATATCTCTCTCTCTGCTTTCTGCTGTTCTGTTATTTCGGAAGTTCCTCCACGCCCTTTTGTTCAGTTCCTTTGCTTACATACATGCCCTTTTAAACCACGGCTTCTTCTTTTGCTTCTCAGTTTTTTTTCCTTCTGGGCCGGGATAAACCTGTTTACTGCCTCCTGACACTTTTGGGTGACATAATCCATCATGTCTTGTACAGACTTAGTTCTGAGTTGTGTCCTATGGTATTTCTCTTATGAATTTTTAATCTCCTCGTTATTTTCCTTTCGGAATGCCAGCCCCTTGTTTTCTAGTTCTTTTTGGGGGAAGATAACTCCTATTTCTACCAGGTACTCAAAAATCAATACACTGTGATCACTCAGTCCCAAGGGGGCTTCCATCTTAACTTCCCTTATATCCGACTCATTCAGGGTGAATATCAGATCAAGTATAGCTGGTTCATCTTCCCCTCTCATTCTTGTCGATCCCTGGGTGTGCTGGCTTAGAAAGTTTCTTGTTGCTACGTCCAGCAGCTTAGCTCTCCATGGGTCTGATCCTCCATGTGGGTCTCTGTTCTCCCAATCTGTCTTCCCATGGTTGAAGTCTCCCATGATTAGTAGCTTGGATCCGTTCCTGCTAGCGAAAGAAGCTGCTCACTCTATTATATTAATGGTGGCCATGTTGTTTCGATCATATTACTGTCACTCACTCCTGTGTGAGTGCCCTCCCGCTGGGGCGAGGAGAGTACCCTGTGTGTGTACCCTCCCGCTGGGGCGAGGAGAGTACCCTGTGTGTGTACCCTCCCGCTGGGGCGAGGAGAGTACCCTGTGTGTGTACCCTCCTGCTGGGGCGAGGAGAGTACCCTGTGTGTGTACCCTCCTGCTGGGGCGAGGAGAGTACCCTGTGTGTGTACCCTCCTGCTGGGGCGAGGAGAGTACCCTGTGTGTGTACCCTCCCGCTGGGGCGAGGAGAGTACCCTGAGTGTGTACCCTCCCGCTGGGGCGAGGAGAGTACCCTGTGTGTGTACCCTCCCGCTGGGGCGAGGAGAGTACCCTGTGTGTGTACCCTCCCGCTGGGGCGAGGAGAGTACCCTGTGTGTGTACCCTCCCGCTGGGGCGAGGAGAGTAAAGTATTTCTACCATATTATACCCTAAGATAAAGGTCATAGTTAAGGCTACAGACGTATTTCTTGAGGAAAATGTTGGCTATAGAAGATTATAAAAACAAATGAATGTTTACCACCCAACACGTCGCATTATTTCCGTTAAATCCGTTAAAAATGTGATTCGTTATTATAAATTAAAGCACCGTAATGTCGACGTATTTTACACATCGGCTTCGATAGGTTTGGTGGGTTGCTTGGGTTCGTACGTTCCTAGTTAGGCAAAACAGTTGTATTTTTTACGGAGAGCCCGCAGGAGGGAGCAGGGTGGATGGCACCGTGTTGGCGCCAATGGTGGCACCCGCACCGCTGACTTATCGACCAGTCGACCTCGTATTGGTTGACGACCACCAGTTTTAACCCTATAGACCACTGCGTCAAATTTTCGGTGCATTAACCACTATTCACTGCCCCGAGGAAATGACGCAATGCTAGAACGGCCATACAGTTGAGGGGTTTGGTAAAGGTGATACGCTTGTGGGGGGCGGGGTGGTGGAAGCACTATATCAGTGTTGCTTGTTAGGTCGTGGGGGCTGGTTGATCCATCTGACTGTTAATCTGTATATACACGTGTCTTGTATCGGGGGGTTTGTGTTTACTGTCCAGTGTTGGGAGTGTCCATTAAGGGAGTGTTAGACATATTTCTTGTTATTTAATGCGCATATATACAGATAATATTTAGTAGTTTCGAGAAGTATAAGTCTTATAATTTCAATGTTTATTTCATACAGTAACGTAGACTGTTAACAGGATGAAACTAGTCTTTTCAGACAGTTATTAAAACTTAATATTATAGTTTAAGGAAAAAATTATTTTTAAATAATTACTGAGGTTAATAAATTAAACAATTTATGTTTATAATATATTTGCTACATATGAAATACAAAACCATTTTTTTTTATTTTTAATTTTTATTTATTTTCTTAGCTGTTTTCTTACTGAATTTTCTGGATAATGAAATGCAATATTTTAATGCAGTTTTATTCCTACAAACACAAGAGGTGTTGATAGTCGCAGCGCTCCACCACTAGTAAGCTTGTCTGTCTTATTTCCTATCTCTGTCTGTCAGTCTCATTACATCAATCTTTGGTATACAAAATGAGGTTCATTAATGCCTCCACAATATAGGTAAACAGTGTTGCGAAGACTGCGCGAGAAAGCATAGTTGTCAGAGAAGCCTTCGTCTCTCAAGACGGCCCAACGTATTTACTATAATCTGTGTAATTCCTCTTTAATGCAGTACACACAGTATATTAAGTTATCACGTGACCAGCAGCTGCCCTTCACGGGTATATCAGTTTTGTATATTGTGTGTGTGTGTGTATCAATACTTTTGTTGAAATGAATCTAACTTCAGCAAAAATTACATTTACAAATATGAAAATAACTGTTTAACTCTTGCCTGACTAATCAAGCCGGTGAATATTACACAAGAAGATAATAATTGAGGACACAACAGAAGGCCTATTGGCCTATGCGAAGTAGCGACTGTTGATATCCTCTCAAACTCATATATATGTGTAACCTACGCTTGAAACAACCCAGTCATCCCACGTCTGTTATGTTACCTGGTAATTTCTTCCATAAATCTACAACCTTATGCTACATTTGACTCTACTTGTGACCTTGACGACAAGTACAACTTCTCACCTGCAGGGTAAGAAAATATAATTGTTTCCCTAAAAACATGACTGAAAATGTGGCTGAGAGGGATAACTGCGTCAAGCTGAGTCCTATCACTATACTTCTATATCAACTCTATCTCTTATACGTATACGGTAGTATCTACTTAACTTGGCTCAGGTAAATACTAATATTATACCTTAAGGTAGATGGATTTTGATAAACAAACATGGATGTATGTATAAGCTTCCGTGTCTGTTTATACTTGTATATAGATAATGTATACATGTATACAGATAATGGCACGGCGTCGTCAGCCACGACTATAAGCTTGGCACCATGACTCCAAGCACAAGTGACAGTGACTTCTGGCACAGGTGGCGGTGTCTCGTGGTCAAAGAAGGAACTTATTCTTAGATCAGTTATCAACTTTGTTGAGAGATTTCCCCAAGGCTTGGAGGGCCCCGTGACCCGACTGCTCCTGTGGTAAGCGTCGAGGCTCTTATGGCCGTCCATTGGCATGCATATGCGTCCGTTGGGATCCACCGATGTTCATTGGCATGCATATACGTCTGCTGGCATCTACCGGCGTCCGTTGGCATCCTTTGGGCTTCATTGGCGTCCATAGTCTAACTTTGCCCAGATGTGTCCAGCTGTGCCCAGACGCTTTGTTAGTGTGCCCAAATCTGCCCAACTGGTCCCAGATGTGTCCATCCATGCCCATCTGTGCCAAGAGATGTCCTGAAGTGCGTAGAGTCTGGTGGTGGTGGTAGTGGTAGAGAGAGAGGTTGTCGTGGTGGGAGAGTGCGGGTCGTGGTGGGAGAGGACAGGTCGTGGTGAGAGGGCAGGTCGTGGTGGGAAGAGAGCAGGTCGTGGTGAGAGAGGGAAGGTCGTGGTGGGAAGAGGGCAGGTCGGGGTGACAGATCTGTCACCTTACTTGCCGACAGTTTGGACGCCGGAAATGTACTCGTCAACAACGTCTATCAAGAGAAGGTCATCAAGGCATTGACGAAAGACGGAATTGGCATAGCAGTTTTGTCTGTGGAGGAGACGTAGCTTGTTAGGCACTAGTGACACAAAAACTAAACTCATTAACAACAATTGGTCAAAAATTTATTAGTGACCAAGAAAAGCTTTATTAAATTTAACCAAAAAATAATATTTTAATGGAACACAGTCTTGATTTAAATGTTAAACTTAATGACTTTATTAATATTTTTTTTTTTAAATCTTAGCAAAAGTTATTTATTTTAATTGGTAAATAGATAACAAATATAAAAACTGAATAGACAAAATATCTGCATAAAAACTTTAAATCGTTGATTTAAAACAAAATTCAAAGTACCGTTGTGTGACGATGTTATCGCCATCTGTTAACAGCAACTGACTCCATTTTCTGTTCCCCGGTGGAAGGCACCGGGGAACAGAAAAGGTACGTTGGACGGCGGAAGGCAGTCCATGGAAAGTGGCAGCAAGAGCATTCTTCAAGAACGCAAAGCTTGTTTCGGCCGGAACAAGAATGGCCTGGTCGTTGAAGACCAGTTAATTGTTTATGGTAGCCAGCGAGCTATTGGATATGTAAACAACGTATCTCGGGGTGGCTAAGTTGTGTTCGTAGAGTGAATGTCCGTCCTCCAGGTTAAGGTTAGTTTGCAGTTAAGCCTTGAAAGCAGGCCAGCGAACGTGTTGCTGAAGTTATTGTTTAGATATTGTGATAATACAGTGGAGGCCTGGCCCGTGAATTGTTGGAAACGTGGTGTGGAGAGAACCACATTCAAAGTGCCCGCCAGCGGGAATATCTCTTATGCTAGGTGAAGCTGTGCACCTGATTGGTGGACGGCGGCCCTGCGCAGTGTCTGCGCACCGCCCACGCACACGCCTGGAGGAGGGAGAGGCAGGCAGGGAAGACCCACACCTGACCACGTGTAGACCTGCTACCGACGTCCCTAGAACAGTAGTTATCTAGTGCTGGCAAGACTGCTTGGACCTCGACCATCCTCTCCCCTGAGAAACCTACGCATCGCTTCAGCCCTCCAACAAGAAAACTACAACTCAAGGTGAGCAACTGTCTTTATTATTACTCTGATAAGTTACCATGTGGTCGGTCGTCCCATACCCCATAGGCGACCGCCTCTACAGTGGACTCGCCGGCGTGAGTACCTCAAAAGGGCACATCACCGTGATAGAAGATCACAGAGGTTTTTTGTGGTGTCTAGTGAAGGTGACACTTAGGGTGTTATCGGTGGTGTATAGATATTGGTGTATATTTGCCTTTTAAATAATTGCCTGTGAATAATATTTAAGTGCGTGTGGTGATGGTTTTGTCTAGCGTTGTTTATCCCCCTTCACCGTTTGGTTATCTATTACACTATTACTGCTCCGTTCTCGATAACTTCATCCTGACTTGGGGTTGGATCTGAGAAGATAAGAGGCACTAAGACCTTTTAGAAAAAGAGATGGACAAAAGACGAATTACTGGCTAAATAAGAACGTAACACAGTCTACACTTTTTTGTTTACTACAGAAACCAGGAAGTCTTCAGTAGCTAACCATAAATTTTGTAATACCTACTTGGAAAATAAGCATACCTTAAAATATTGAGTATTATCCTCGAATTAATCCACTCAATTTTGGTACACGTTGAGGTTGAGACGCAGGTCCACCACCCACAATTTGAATGTTGAGTGAGCGAAGCAGTTATATCTGTTAAGTTATGTAGAAAAGGGGGACGATATTGAGGGATTCATTAAAAAATGTGAAGAGGATAGACCGTTAGAGTATTAAGATAAATAAAATTAGGTATAAAAATTAAAAGAAGAATAGAAATAACTTAAATCAAGTTAAATTGAGGGAAAAAACAAAATAATATTAAAAAATTTAATAGAACATATATCAGAAATGGCTTAATTTTATAAATCAATAAAAAAATTATTTGTTCCGAATAAACGAAAACTATATAAGAAATTCTTAACTAAAAAAACATTGACTATTAAAATAAAATTAAAAAAATACCAAATTAATTTAAATTAAATTATTAAACTTAAAAATAAATCCCAAAGAAATGACGTTGCACTGAGTATGCGGCCGAGGTACCAAGACTGCACTTAGTATTGTGACTGGCAGTTACTCCCGGGGGATACGAACTGTGGTGGGCAGCTGGTGGGTACCTAGAGTAGTGGGCAGCTCACCTGCAGGTGGTGGCGACGTAGGGTTTACGGTACAAGTTGTAACAATCTTCACACACTCGGTCAAGCTTCTTGAAGATGGCTCTGTCGTATATTCCTTTACAAGCCTGGTCGAACACCTGTCGCTTGTTGACGCTCTGGTCTTGGGAGAGGAAGCTGAGAGGTTCCGACGATGACGACCCAGACGACAACAGTCGCTCCATCCTCGACGACCCTTCAACGGACCGTCCATGGACACCAGACGAGCCCAGACTCGCTGCCACCACCACCACTACCACCACCAACGACCACATCTGTTGGGGTCAAGGAAGGAGTGAAAGATTACTTCGTAGTTCCAGACGGACTTAGACCCACCAACACCATCACCTACGGTCACCACCATCAATGACCACTGCCACCACCAGCGACCACCTCCACTACCGACCACCACAACCAACGACCACATCCATTGGAGAGTTTCCGGTCTACTCATCTCACACCAATGAGCACCTCAGCACGGGTACAGTTATACTGCAGTGACTCAGTATCTGTCGCTACCTTCCGCACTGACTCATGGGTGAGTTTAACAATCTCTAACCTCATCCATCCTCTACTTCATTCATAACTCTCATCAATATGACTACGCATATCCTGCTAACATTTCTAGTGGCCTACCACACCAGTACCCCTCTGGTAGGGACCCTAGCACTCCCAGTACTCCTCTAGTAGAGACCCTAGTGCTTCCTATACACCCTCTGGTTGGGGACCCTAGTACTCCCAGTACCCCTCTGGCAGCGACCCTACCACAAAAATGAGCAGGAGGCCAGACAGGGTTCCGAGTGGGAGACGAAGTCCTCCATGAAACAGACAGAGAGAATGATCTAGGAGTTGATATCACACTAAACCTATGCATGCGATGAGTCACAATAACGTGGTTGAAGTAGTTTGACCAGACCACACACTAGAAGGTGAAGGGACGACGACGTTTCGGTCCGTCGTGGACCATTCTCAAGTCGATCGACTTGAGAATGGTCCAGGACGGACCATTCAACCTATCTCCTGAAGCCCATATCAAAAGGGTATCATCAGCGGTGTGTGAGAGGCTGGCTAACATTAGAACTGCTTTAAGAAATTTGTGTAAGGAATAATTTAGAACCTTGTATACCACACATGTCAGACCAGTCTTGTAGAATGCGGCTCCTGCATGGAGTCCACTCCTTGTCAAGCATAAGAAATTGGAGAAGATTCAAAGGTATGCAACTAAACTAGTTCCAGAACTAAAAGGTATGAGTTACGAGGAAAGGCTGCGTGAATTGCACCTCGCGTCGCTGGTAGACAGAAGAGTTAGGGAAGACATGATTACCACATACAAAATTCTCAGGGGAATTGACAGGGAGACACGCTCAAGAGGACACAGGTGGAAACTTAATACCCAAAGGAGCCACAGAGACAAAGAATTCTTTCAGTGTCAAAGTAGTGAGCAAATTTTGCGAGCCTCTATATTTATATAGTCCAGCATCATATTTTCACGCTGGGGATTTATACGTCAAAATGCTATATACTATTCGAGGGGACAGGCTGCAAATAGGCACTTGCAATAAACAGGAAGCCTTGGGAGGTTCTAAACGACTCTGTGAAGCTGTATCAACAACAAGTGAAGACAGCGGTCGTCCCTCTCAGTACCGCCCGGACTTACCGTTCTGAAGGAAACCATAGCTGGAGGGGGACGAGTCTCGGATCTACACAGACCAGCACCACGAAGACTGCCTCGGAGGTCTAGAGAGTCCTGAGAGAGGGACTTGACGCTGGTATGGTGTGTGTGTCATCCCTGCCTCTCCTCCGCTTATATAGGGAGTCCTTCCAGCCCCCATAGCAATTATTGGACGCCCCCTTTATGGGGAGAATGGCGTTGATTGGCGCCAGGCAGACATGATGACAGAAAGGTCATCTATATTTATACGCCAGCGTATAATACACGCCTAATATACAAGAATATTTTATAGAAAACAGTTTGTTTCGTCGTGTATTTATTAAAAGTGATTTTCAGGGGATTTTGAAGGGGAGACTATAATGTTTTGTGCAGGTAAAGACAACAGATTCAGAGCCATTTTTGGACCAACAAATGCGGCTCGTCCTCTGGTAAATACGATAGCTAAAACTAACTAGTTTAAAGGGAATATATATATATATATTTTTTTGAGATATATACAAGAGTTGTTACATTCTTGTACAGCCACTAGTACGCGTAGCGTTTCGAGCAAGTCCCTGGAATACGATCCCCTGCCGCGAAGAATCGTTTTTTCATCCAAGTACACATTTTACTGTTGCGTTAAACAGAGGCTACAGTTAAGGAATTGCGCCCAGTAAATCCTCCCCGGCCAGGATACGAACCCATGACAGCGATCGCGGAACGCCAGGCGAGTGTCTTACCACTACACCACGGAGACTGTTAAACTGTTGGTTTTAAACTAGTTTTTTATTTATATATACAAGAGTTCTTACATTCTTGTGCAGTGACTAGTACGCGTAGCGTTTCGGGCAAGTCCTTAATTCTATGTTCCCCTGGAATACGACTCCCGCGAAGAATCGTTTTTACAACCAAGTACTCATTTTACTGTTAAACAGAGGCTACAGTTAAGGATTTGCGCCCAATAAATCCTTCCGGGCCAGGATACGAACCCAGGAAAAAGCACTCGCGGAACGCCAGGCGAGCGTCTTACCACTTCGCCACGGAGACTGCTTGGTATAGTATTTATACTATAGACTGCTTAGAGTTAGTATTCGCCAGTTATTGGAATTTGTACAATACGTGGGAAAGGCAATATAAGGCGCATCAAACCCTTGGAATAGTCAAACGGACCATTGACTTCAAGGAAAAGATTGTAGCTAACTGTACAAATCTCTGATGCGTCCTAATCTGGACAATAATCCAGATATGGACGTATTAGAGCTGAGGGTCGCGTAAACCCCACCTTTTTCAAGGCGGGGTTTGCATGCGTCCAAACATGAACACCCCTTCCTTCAAAAGAACATTTCTGCTTTGGAGAAAATTCAACGTTGGGCGACAAAAATCATTCCAGAACTAAGTAAATTTTTGCACCTGGAACGGTTTTATTTATTTATTTATATACAAGAAGGTACATTGGGTTTGAGAATACATAGCATATTTTCAATCTTGTAAAGCCACTAGTACGCGCAGCGTTTCGGGCAGGTCCTTAATCTAACAGACAAGGGCCACAGGGCTAACAACACTGCAGACCAGATATGATAGGGCTGCATTCATTGAAACTTTTGAAATACGAAAAGTTGGAAACCACCTCCTCAAAAGGTCAGATGTAACACAAACAAGGAGCAACGGTTTCAAGCTCAACAAGCCACAATGTGGAAATGAGAACAGGAGATGCTTTTTCACCCACAGAGTTATAAACCCATGGAAACCCTACCTAACGTTATAAGCCTACCTAACGAAGCCGTAAATGTCAAGACTGTTCCCGTTATTGGCCACTAGAATACAATACAATACAATACAATACAATACAATTTTATTTAGGTAAGGTACATGCATACAATAAATATTTACAAGGATTGTTTGACTTATAGGTATAGCTAGTACATACAATGCCTAAAGCCACTATTACGCAAAGCGTTTCGGGCATGATAAACTTAAATGACAAGCTTAATACTAATTGAGCATAATGAGTAGAATGAAAACAAGAAATGAAAACAGATGAAAAAGCAGCACAAATACAATTATGTCGACAAACAGCGCTCTTTAAAGAAAAAAACAGACATTGGTTGACAATAGAAGGGTAAGGTAGGTTACAGGGAATTTATTAGGTATAGCTTCGCTTTTAACTTAAACTGGTTGAGAGAGGTACAGTCTTTAACATGGTTGGGAAGGTCATTCCACATTCTGGGCCCCTTGATTTGTAGAGCATTTCTAGTTTGATTAAGTCGTACTCTAGGAATATCAAAACTGTATTTATTTCTGGTGTGATGCTCATGGGTTCTGATACAACCTTCTATGAAGCTTTTGAGATCAGGATTGGCATTATAGTTTAGCGTTTTATATATGTATAATACACATGAGAGAATGTGCAGTGACTTAATGTCTAACATATTCAGAGATTTAAGTTGGGGTACCGAGTGATGTCTGGGGCCAGAATTGGATATTGTCCTAATAGCAGCTTTGTGTTGAGTAATTAGAGGACGTAAGTGATTTTGGGTAGTAGAGCCCCAAGCACAAATACCATAGTTGAGATATGGATAGATAAGGGAGTAATAGAGAGTCACCAGGGCAGGGCGTGGTACATAATATCTGATCTTAGAAAGAATGCCCACAGTTTTTGAAACTTTTTTTGATATGTTTAGAATGTGTCCCTGGAAATTAAGCTTGTGGTCAATGAGAATGCCAAGGAATTTGCCATCTAATTTGTTACAAATTTGGGTATTGTTTATTTTGAGATTTATTTGATTAGAGGATTTATTGCCAAACAGAATATAAAAGGTTTTGTCAATGTTAAGGGTGAGTTTGTTGGCAGTTAGCCACAGATGGACTTTATTTAGCTCAGTATTTACTGTGGCATTTAGAGCAAGGGGATCAGGACTGGAGTAAATGAAGGTTGTGTCGTCAGCAAATAGAATTGGTTTGAGGTGTTGGGAGGCATTTGGAAGGTCATTAATGTAGATGAGAAAGAGGAGAGGGCCAAGTATGCTGCCCTGGGGAACACCAATGTTGATGGGTAGGGTGGGAGAAATTGTATTATTCACAGAAACACAGACTAGACTTCAGACTAGACTTCTCCAGACTAGACTTCACAGACTAGAGAGACTGTGGCTCTCGGGTAAATTCAGGTAAAAATTAAAATACATTGTTAAATACCGTCTTTAATAGTGTGGTATACCAGTTTACCAGTAAAGTTTTCAGTTTCTTTGTCTTCATTGACACTTTGTTTTCTTTTTTTAATTTAAAGGAGTAACTACGTTGATTATCATATAATCTTGCAGTGATCGTTGTTGTTATGAATTAAAGGGCGATGACGATCGTGGGTTCGGATACCCCTCGGCGTACCCACAGAGGGTTAATCGCAAAGACTAATGGTGAAACGATTGACACATATTACCAGACACTAAGATGCCTCGCGGCAAATAACACACAGACAGGCAAATGATTTATCTTTATCATTTATCAATTCTGATAGAAATTACCTACTTTAAATTATCTGCTAGATTAAGGACATGCCCGAAACGCTGCGCGTACTAGTGGCTTTACAAGAATGTAAATACTGTACTGTCCAATGTATTCTCACAAACCCAATGTACCTTTTTGTATATATATAAATAAATAAATAAATAAATAAATAGATTGGGGAGCCCCAGGAGTCCCTCAGGGTGACAAGCACCGGCCCCGCCCCACACAGAGAACTTCGGGTAGCAAAACCAAAATCTCGACCCCCAGTTAAAACTCAAAAGCCGTCCAGTGCTCTCCGGCAGAGCAGAAGCCAGCCGCCCATCAGTATATATGTATGAATATATATATATATATATATATATATATATATATATATATATATATATATATATATATACACACACGAGTTCTCTCACATTAACAGTGGCTTGATGAAAAAACGTATAGTAACCTCTCACTTGTCTAGTGCCCTCGGGAAGTGGAGATATTTGAGGTGTATATATATCTCGAAGTCTCTACTTCTTTTGTAGGGTCTGATGGTGTAGTGGGTTAAGGCGTACTAGTTATGGCAGCTACTGGAAGGTAGTTGTGCTTTCTGGGTTCGAGGCCCATTGGTGGGTGTTGTCCAAAGATTGTTAATCTTCACTTGTGGTTTATGCAAGTATAGGCTTATATATATATATATATATATATATATATATATATATATATATATATATATATATATATATATATATATATATATATATATATATATATATATATATATATATATATATATAATATGCAGAATAACCACATGTGAAAAATAGAAAATGCTTAACGCGTTTTCGGCTAATTCGCCTTCATCAGAGCAAAGTAGAATGAAGATAAGATTGCTGATCAGACCTTTATATCCGCCTAGGCAGATCACCTGACCACCAAAAATAAATGGAGGAAAGGAATTATAAGAAAGAAGGTAACTGCAGAAGGCATATTGGCCCATACGAGGCAGCTCCCATTAATATCTCCAAGTACCATACGTGTTAAATGATTGCTATATTGTTTTTACGTGCTATATTGAGGCTTAAATAGGGATCCAACTTGTACATACCGGGGCTCACATTAAGGCTGTTGTTACAATGTTTGATCAGAGCAGACTCGATCACGTTTCGTTCAACAAAATCCTTACTTTTAACAATACATTTTGCCCCTGTGAAGTCGATAGAATGATTACATAAACTGGAATGTAAATAAAATGCACTGGATTGCTGGGCTGTACGAATAGCATATGAATGCTGTTTTAAACGCGAGGAAAGAGATTTACCTGTCTGGCCGATGTAAACACATGCACACTCATTACAAGGGATGGAATACACACAACCTGCTACAGACGAGGGCGAGTTCTTAATTAACATGGACTTAACTGTATTATCATTTTTGAACACTAGATTAATATTAAGGTTCTTCAGGGCTGGGGCAAGATTTACTAGACCCAAAATAGATTTACTAGACCCAAGATTTGGGTCTAGTAAATCTTGCCCCAGCCCTGAAGAACCTTAATATTAATCTATCAGCCCGACAGATGTTGTGTCCATCATTCACTCACTAAAAACCAAAGCTGGGAACATTAGTGAAATACCATCCATGGTATACA